ACACACATGTACAAACGAACATATTTGTGTGCATTTGCATGTATATGTGGTGTTACCATAATTTGTTTTCTTTGAGTGATGCAAAAATACATGAAAACACGAATGAACCAAACAGACTTACATCTTTCAAAGGAGCGAAGCGCAGACGTGTACATCGAGACTGGATTGCTGGTATAATCTTCGACATATAGTTACAGATAATGCAAAATCGAACATTCTCCGTGAATTTTTCGATCACACGCCTGTCATAAAATGCATGGTAATTCAAAAAAGACTCAGTTTTCAGGTCTCATTCACGTTACCAGTACAGCACGGTCGTAAATGCATCAAGCAGTGATTAGCCTAGCTCTTCTTTGTTTTCTGGTTGATAAGTGTGCAACGGTGAAATGATGTTCAAGGAAGAATATGGACGGCGTGCGGTGTAGGGGGATGTTACTTGGAGGCTCACCTCAACGCGCTCTGCGCATCTTTGGTCATTGCATCAGCTTCGTCCAGAACGATTAGCTTCGGCGGCACTGTTTGGCCCTCATTCGCATGAAATGTCATGGTCTGCGCGAACGTGATAATCTGGTCACGTACAATGCCGATACCGCGATCGTCGGAGGCATTCAGCTGCAAACCCATGCTCGTACAGTTACAGTTCACACTCTTCAACAATGCGTGGGGCTCAATTTATGTTCAAAGTTAGCGCACTCTGTGAATGTTTGCGTGTGTGTGTGTGTGTGTGTGTGTGTGTGTGTGTGTGTGTGCCTGTTTACATTACTTGTCCCATCCAGTAAAATTTCATCATGTTTCGCTTAACAATTCACTAGCAGAGAAATTTTCCTGGTTTTCTAACAACTATTCAGGGACTGGCTTTTCTACTATTACTATCATTTTGCTTAAACCATTTTTCACGGATTAACGTATTTCTCGAAACACCAGTTCTCAAAACTAAATTTTATCCAGACAAATATGCATGGATTTACATTTTCCCGAACTGCCGGCTATTAATCTAAGTAGCTATCAAACTCAAAAGAAAGTGGGACGATTGCGATTCGAAGAATTTAAAAAATAATTTCATTAAATTCGATAACTTTGGTCAGATCAACGTATTTCTATTACGAAGCGAAATCGAACAGTCCTGCAAAAGTTAGGAGCATTGACTTGGATATGAAATTTTTGTTCCGGCAAGAGCTAATCTGTGGACAAATCTGTAAATGACCACTGACCGTACTCTCAATATTTACCAAAGTAGCCGCTGGGTGAAGGGGCTAGTAAAAGCACTGGCGAGCAGTGCTGTAATGGTTTGCCCAAATAAAAAAAAAAAATACCGACGACCACACAGCCGTGCGAATTCTATTCCAAAAGTCCTGTTTCTATTAATTTGCCCTCTAACTCTGCCAGTTTTTTTCAAAAAAAATTCCTCACCTCAAGTACCATTGATGGTAGCTGCTTCGGTGAATACATCATTTTTGCCACTGCCAATATGGTGCTCGTTTTGCCCGTACCAGGAGGGCCATAGAACAGCAAATGAGGCAGGCGTTTTTCATCCACGAATTTCAGCACTGAAAAAAGTTCCACAAATCGTATTTGCTCACTGAGAGCTACACCTACTGCTCGATGCTCACATCCCCCTCCTCGCAGACACCGACAGCGCCGTTTCATCCCCGAAAGCACTCATCATCTCTGAGCAGCAGCCTCCGCCTGCTCAGCAGCTCACTCCCCGTTGCTCCTTCTGTCCCACTGTTACTGCACAAGCACTGCTGGTGAATCCCTCCTCCCGCAATCCCAAAAATATTTTTGTTCTCCGTCGCTCCTCCACTCCTAACAACCACCCCGCACATCTCCACCGCGCCACTAACTTACTTCAGCAGCACCAGTACCAGCGCTCAAAGCACACAGATTTTCAGATACCCCGATATTTCACCCGCTGCACACTATCAGACGGTGGCTAGCGGTACCACAAGATG